GTTCTCTCCCTCAGGCTCTGTGCTCCTCGCCCGCAGGTCCAAGCTGAGCTCCTGCCTGCTGCTGACCGACCCGCGCAGCCAGCACTCGGTGCGGCTCCCTCACAAGCTGCCGGGCATGCACTACAGCGCCGACGAGCAGTGCCAGATCCTCTTCGGGACCAACGCCACGTTCTGTAAGAACATGGAGGTAAGAGCTGGAAACGAGGGGGAAGTGGAAATCAAGCTGCCAGGCGCTGGGGAAGGGAAAAGGAGTCTGTGCTTTCCTCAGTGGTGGAAAATCAAGCRGTGATTGAGCTCGGTGTCAGCGGCTCCTGCTTAGGCCTTGTCCTTCGTTCCCCACACTGCCTTTGGTAATCTCCCAGAGCAGACCCAGAAAAACTGGTGTTTGCACGTTGTTCCCTTTTGACATTGTTTTGCTGAAATGCTCTGTAGAGATTGTTTTCCTGGAAGTTCAGCTGAGGTGAAAGTCTCCCCTCACAAGAGTGTTTGGCTGCTCTCACAGTCAGCTTAGATGGCTGTCTGGGTGTTTCACAGACGTCACCTTCMGAGCACTGCAGTGTTCTTAGGAGCTGACTCTTAACTCTGCTGAGGAAATATTGCTGTCTGCTTGTTTCATGGGGCCTTTTAGAATTCTGTGCAGAGTCCTGTGGGATTTGTAAGCAATACACGATGTTTAATCAGGATTTGGGTGCAATGGGTGCGATATCACATGGTTGGTTGGCAAAATGGAAATGATGATTGTTGCTGTCTCTAGATATAGGTTGTATTTGAGAGCAGGCTGTTGGACTCATTCTCTGTGATTTAGACAGCTAAACTTTTAACAAGGTCTTACATAAAATTAGATMTTTTCATTCTGAGCAGACCTGAACTGCATCCCGCTTTAGACAGGGAGTGGGGAAATGCCTGCTTCCAGTGTGGCCTTGGAGATATCCTTAGGAAGACRTGAAGCTGTGCTGGGTCACCAGCAGCCACTGGCAGCGTCCCCTCCTGTGCAGACAGGCAAGAAGCAGACAAGTTTCTTGCTCTTAAAAACCGGCCATTTGAAATCTTTTAGTTGTCCTTCAGTCCCATTCGGAACAAGCTTGGCATCTTAAATCAGTGTTGAGAAAGAAAATAATAATCAGAGATAGCTGAGGTTTCTAAGTGCCAAATTACTAAAACTGTCGAACACATGCAAGTCCTGGGAAAATGCTCTTAGTTTCACATTAGCTGTTTTATTTATTTTGGACTTGGAAACTAAATAATATAAAACAATAGGAAAAGAATCTGGATAGGTTGTGTTTCCCAGCTCCATCAAGAAAATGCAGACCACCAGGACTACTGTACTGGAAGCAAAGTATTAGAATATAGGTCTGTAAAGAAAACCTCAGATCTACCCAGCATGACTCAAGTTCTTCCACTTGTGTGGGTGTCACCCAGCTGGGCTGCTTTTGGAATAGATTTTTGCTCTTTCCCTTGTTGTGATAAAAACCCTTTCTGTTTCTGGATATTCCAGTGCCTAATGAGAATGTCAGCCCGCTAGTAGGTGGTCAGCATTTCTCACACAGAAGTTGCATGTCCAGTCTGGAATTGCTTCAGGGACTTGTTGTTTGCCAGAACAATGTGCCAAGAGGCACCATTCTCTGTGAGATGCAGACAGCAGGTGTTTGTGTCTCCCAAGACTTTKTCACCAGTCAAATTATTTGACAATTTTAGAACACAATGAAAACCATGCTCTTTTTCTCCATCTCTTCTTTCTGCCCCCAAAAAGCATATTTTATGAGGACATTGATGCTTCTTAATGAAAAGCCTGAATGAACTTCAGCAGATTAAAACCAATTTGTAGTCCCTTATTTAGATTTCTGTTGCAGATGTGCATTAAGAATTAGCTTTCACCCTGTGAAGCTCTGGATCAGTTATGTCACATGCCATTAATTTAAGCAAATATTTACATCCTGTTACGGTACTCTGAACTGGTGTTTGAAGGCAAGGCAAGGAAATTCTTTAGAGGAAATGATCACTTTTGACTTTTAAACCTCTGAAGTTTGTGTTCTTTTCACCTTTGTGTTTCTCAGGCCTCATCTGCAGAATACTTGTATCATAAGTCTCAAAGCTGTCTACAAAAATATGAACCAAAAAAAAAATTGGCACTGGTCACTGGCATTAGCTGTAGAAATTATTGGCAAATACAGCTGTCTCCTCTTTTAGCCAATGGTAATGTGGTATTTTTAATTCGATAAAGTATTAAAAAAATCCAAATGTAAAAGCAATAAACATTTGACAGTAAATATTTGTTACGAAAAGGAAATAAACTTCAGGAAATGAGCCTGCTCAATCTTTTTATGATTACATGTGTCTACTGCCTATTTTCTTATATAATRAAAGAGTTACATTACAATATTTCTTTGGAGATAGTTGAGCTACATAATTATCAGGCAAACTAGAGGCTCTGTATTCAAAAATGTCATGCAATTTGGTTTAGAACAAATTTCAGAGATTAGACTATTCCAAAATTTGAACATTTTTTAGAAACTGCAGAAAATTTCTGTTCAGTAACTTCTCTCCTTTAACAGCATCAAAGCCCAGTTTTTTAAAGGAATGTAATCTTTGCCTTCACAGRGAGTCAGGTCCCTAAATGCTTGGCAATGGCTGGGCCTCCGACACTGGTCCAACAAGATAGTTGATCCATGAATATTCACCCTTATCTGAATATTTGAGATTGCATCCCCACAATTATTCTTCCATTTTGTTTTTAATGATGATTCAGATGCCTTAGAACAAAACTGTAGCTCTCAGRTTTATAAGTTTGCCAAACCAGCTGTCCTGCAGCTATTCTGCTCCAAATTTACAGAACAGAAATTAAAACATATGAGGAAGGCTCAGCTTTACATATACTAAACCTCTTGRCATTCTTTTTTTCCTTTGTTTCTACATTTTAATGTACTAAAAAATGAACTAATTAACAGCATGAGTCTATGAATAGTCAGATGATCCAAGATATATAATTCAGGATCTGGTTCTGTAACAATAATGTTGAGTAAGRTTTTCTAGTGTATGTCACCTCTTTAAGGAGCTGTGAATCAGGCTTTTAGCCTGGATTCTTGTTAAAGCAYGGAACAATCCATTTTTATTTATTTGAAAAGGATTGTTGTACTGCATTAATAACAAATGGCAAGATTACCTCCAGAGCCTGGAGGGACTGCAAGTCCATTTTGGTGCGTGCTCCACTTACAGTTTTATTGGTTTGAGATACATTCAGGGGCCTGCTTTTGGATCAACTTTAACCTGAGTATTGCATGGATGAGTCCTTCTCATCATCAGGAAWAGAAAGGTTTTCATGGCACCGTGGAAGAATTCGTTTGAGACCCCCATGTGGAATATTGTGCACAGTTCTGGTGTCCCAAAGTTGGTGAGGGGACTGGAGCACCTCTCCTATGGAGACAGGCTGAGAGAGYTGGGGCTGCTCAGCCTGGAGAAGAGAGGCTTGAGTGGAGACCTCATAGAAACCTCCCAGTGTCTGAAGGATCCTCCAGGAAATCAAAAAGGGGCTMTTCATCAGGAACTGTAGTAACAGGACAAGGGGGAATGGGTTCCAACTGAAGGAGGGGACATTTAGCTTRGATATCTGGAAGAAATTCTTCCTGTGAGTATGGTGAGACCTTGGCACAGGGTGCCCAGAGAAGCTGTGGCTGTCCCTGGATCCCTGGCAGTGTCCAAGGCCAGGTTGGACAGGGCTTGGAGCAATCTGGGATAGTGGAAGGTGTCCCTGCCCATGGCAGAGGGTTGGAAYTGGATTTTAAATGCAAATCTCTCAATGGTTCTATGATTTCACGTATGTTAATGAATCTCTCAAGACCCTTCAGTAGTTCCCCCTACATATCCAAATTTTCTCCTGGAATATGCCAAGGGATCAAAGTGCTTTCCCGTGGTACTTTGTGTTCATCTTTCCTGTTGCAAATGTCAGGCATTGTGTGATCCATGCAAGTTCTTATCTAGCAGGATGTGCACATGCTTCTGCCATGCCAGGCAYGCTGCCTGTCTCCAGCTCGACAGTGCTGGGAGAACTTTGGTTCACCTAAGAGGTTGCACAGTGRCCTTTATTTTGAGAGAGACAAGTGGCTTTTAGCAAAAATTAAATGGATGGCTGTGTCRTTCTTGAGCTCTGAGCAACATCACCATAATTGCAGGAAAAGCTGAACAGAAATGCACCTCTGACACTGTGCAGGGCATTGYCAGTGCACCCCAAACACAGAGATCCTGGGGGGCTCTGCCTGCTGAATGCTGACGTGAGTCCAGGGCTAACATGGGAGCAGTTGTGCAAATTACAGGCAATTCAACCTGTCTGACCTCTGTCGTTCAGCTCCACACAGGACTATGAATCAACTATTGTGAATTCATTTGACCCCTCCGAGAGAGGAAGCAGAAAACTCYAACTCCAGCCAGGCGATGATGCCTCAAGAGCAGGAGTTAACCCTTTACTCTCCCTGTGTTTATACCAAGACGAATAGCACGGGTGGTTTCTGCTCAATCTCTCAGGGAGCAGAGATGGTGTTTCTCCCCCAGAAATGCATCAAAACATTCAAAACCTCACATGGAAACATTCTGCGTGTTTAATCTTTATTTTTCAGACTGGCACACCTACCAACAGAGGCTTTTGCACTGAAATCATATTTATGGGGGGAAAAAATGTGATTTCTATCTCATGTATCCATTTGGCTTTTTGTTTTATAAGCCTTTTGGCTTATTTATTATTAACACATTTTTGCAAGYTTTTATGTAACCATTATCGTCCAGCCTTGTTTTGAGTCAAAACTGGGCTGAGGCTGGAGTAGCYCTTGGAAGGAGATTAGCATTGCTACAAGGAGATTTTTTTTCTGACAAGGGACACTGTCAACTCAGATGTAGCTGGAAATGTGAACATGGCACTGTTTTTAGAAATATTAAACAAGCTAGAATTGGCTCCAGTGCTTTTCTTAGGTTCAGGTTGTYTTTTAACAACTGTAGGTATTTTCCAATGTCTACAAGCTACAGAACAAGAGGTCAAAGTTGATTGCAARCCAAAGGAGACAAAGTGGATTTCTGGGCTAATATGGAAAAAGGAGAGGAACCAAAAAACAAGGTAAAGAAAGAGCAGCAATTGCAATGATCAAGTGGATTTTATGAATCCCTTCAGTTTGCATATTTGATGGTGTGGTGGTGAATATAATT